AGTTGAAATCCACAAATCTTAAACATGCCAAGTTTGAAGACCCTTGTTCTAGACTGTTGGCTATTCCTGCCAGTTTAGTATCATCTGAAAATTTGGTAAGTTCTCCTTCTATTCCCTCATCTAAGTCATTTATGAAGATATTGAATAGTACTGGGCCTAGGACAGAACCTTGTGGTCCCCCACTGCTTACTTCCCTCCATGTAGACTTAGACCCATTAACGACTACTCGTTGAGTACATGTAGATGTAGTATCATTAAGGACTACTTGTTGAGTACAGTTTGTCAGCCAGTTGTGAATCTACAGTGATGATGCTATTTATCCCACTTTTTTCTAGCTTACCATGAAGTAGGTTATGGTCTACTTTGTCGAATGTCTTGCTGAAGTCTATGAAGATTATGTCCACCGTATTTCTCTGATTTAGTCACTAATTTAGTCACTATGTTGAAGAATGAAATAAGATTGGTTTGGCATGAACTATTTTTAACAAACTTGTGCAATTTCCATCCATTATTCCAAGTGTGGCCTTACCAAGGCATTATAAAGTGATACTAACACTTCACACATTCTTGATTCTATCCCTCTGTTAATTCAACCTAGGACTTTGTTGGCTTTTTTGGGGGGGCAGGTGCCTCACACAGCTGGCTCATATTTAAATTAGGGACAGATCATCTTGGAGAAGGCCCATCTATGTGGTTCACTAAGAGAGAACCCCAACTTGATGACACGCTGTCAAAGTTAGCTGCTGTTGAGAAATCGTTCAGCTGCTGTTCCTCTTGAAGGCAAAAGCCATTCAGCAGGCCTGAAGCATCGTGGGCAATTCAATCAGAAGAATTCTTACACAATCCTATTCAAGGCAGCTTCTTGGTAATATGCCGAAGGTACATAAATAAGGAGGAATATTAATTACATTAATTAGGAAGGCTTTAAGAAGTGCCTTGCAAAATCTGTATATAATTGCAATGAAACTATTGCTTTCAACATTCGATTGAAAAAGAATAATCTGATAAAGGCAGAAGGTTCAAAGAAAAGCAGATGGAATTCAATTAAGCTATTAAAATACCTAGATGTCCCCACTTTGAAGGTATAAAACACAAGAAGTCATGCGAGTTATCTTTGCTAAAAGCATATAGTACAATACAGCCAACTCGGAATTCAGGTAGGTCCTCGAGTTAGAACCACAGTTGAAACCCAAATTTCTGTTGCTAAGTGAGGCAGTTGTTACGTGAATTTTCCCCTATTTTATGACCTCTCTTTAGTAACATGATTGTTAAGCGAAAATGGCTTCCCCACTGAATTGTCTAAGGAAAAGGAGGATTAGGGGGGACATGATAGCAGTCTTCCAGCATTTGAGCGGCTGCCACAAAGAAGAGGGGGTCAACTTATTCTCCAAAGCACCAGAAGGCAGGACAAGAAACAATAGATGGAAACTAATCAAGGAGAGAAGCAACTCAGAACTACGGAAAAATGTCCTAACAGTGAAAACAATTAATCAGTGGAACGGCTTTGCCTTCAGAAGTTGTGGGTGCTCCATCACTGGAGGCTTTCAAGAAGAGACTGGACTGCTATCTGTCAAAATGGTGTATGGTCTGCCTGGGTGGGGGGGGGGGGGCGGGGTTGGACTAGATGACCTACAAAGTCCCTTTCAACTCTGTTATTCTGTTAATTAATTAGTGGAACAAGTTGCCTTCAGAAGTTGCGGGTGCCCCATCACTGAACATTTCCAAGAAGAGACTGGATTGTGACTGGTCTGAAATGGTATAGGGCAGTGATGGCGAACCTTTTTGTTGTGGTATGCCGAAAGCATGTGCATGCTGGCACCCACAATGCAATGCCCCCCCCCCCCCCCTTTTATCTGCACTGTGCTTCTGCGTGGCTCCCAGCCGATTTTTGGCCCGTTTGAGGCCGTTTTTGCCCTCCCGGAGGCTCAAAGGAAGCCTCTGCAGCCTCGGGATGCTGAAAAACAGGCCTGTTTTGGCACTTCCGGTATTTTCAGAAGGCCATTTTTTTCAGCTGGGAGCCTCCGGGAGGGTGAAAACAGCCTCAAACGGGCCAAAAATCATCTGGGAGGGGCACGCATGTCCCGTGAAGGTAAGTTTGACTGGGGCTTGCGTGTCCGCACAAATGCCTCTGTGTGCCACCTGTGCCCTAGGTTCGCCATCACGGGTATAGAGTCTCCTGCTTGAGCAGGGGCTGGATTAGAAGACCTCCAACCTCTCTTGATTGATTGAATTTGCTTGTCTGAAGATTGCAAGGACCCTGGGATATTGCAATTGTCATAAATACATGCCAGTTTCCAAGTGTTTCAATTTTGTTCACCGTGGGGATGCTGCAGTAAGTGTGAAAAACATTTTTTCCCCCACTTTTTGCAGTGCCCTTGTAACTTAGGGATGTAAAACCATTTATAATTTTAATTGGTTGTGCATGGAAACATGAATTAAGATTAATATGAAATGTAGGTAACCATCATGGTTGATTATATGTAGCAATAGCACTTAGACTTATATACTGCTTCACACAGCACATTACAGCCCTCTCTAAGCAGCGTACAGAGTCGTCCCCCAACAATTTAGGTCCTCATTTTACCCACCTTGGAAGGATGGAAGGCTGAGTCAACCTTGAGCCTGGTGAGATTTGAACTGCCAAAATTGCAGTCAGCCGGCAGTCAGCAGGAGTAGTCTGCAGTACTGCACTCTAACCACTGCACCACCGCAATTCATGTAGCTATTGAACATAAAATCCTTGGATTTGGGTTATATCTGGATTAGATTACAACCATGTTCCTGAACCTTGAACAATTTTAAGATGGATGAACTTCAACTCCCAACCCTAGCCAGCATGCCAGTTAGGTAATTCTGGGAGGGAAAGTCCACTCATCTTAAAGTTGCTGAGGTTAAGAAATACTTTATTACAATCAGCGTTGGATAGATTTGCCATAATCCATAGTTTGTGGGAAATTGATTTACAGGGCAGATATCAAATGTGCCTTGCACAATTAACCAAAACCAACAGCTCAGCACAAAATCACATTAAAATTCATCTTTTAAAAACACAAATGGAGATAAATTCAAAACAGAACAGAACAGTGATGCTTTCTAAATGGGCATTCTTTCAAAGCTATAGATGCACTAAGCCTACTATATGCTTTTCTGCCCATTTCAAATAAATGGAGTCCTAAACAGGAAGAAATAATTCCTGTATCTTTTGGAATACAGCAGATATAAATGTGAATTCTTGTCAGTTGTTTATGTCTCTAGCTTGGCTTGTTTTTCACTTGTGTGTCGTCCCATTTTTGCCCTTTAACGGTCTTGTCATTTGCTAAAGTTTAATTACCAAACATCAGGGTATATATTTCCTAGCTGAACTGTGGGCCATGTAAGCTTGCATTGACCTGGATCTAAGGATTGTCTGGAAGTGCATAACAGATACCAGATAATCAGATTTGGAAGGGACCTTGTAGGTCATCTAGTCCAACCCCCCGCCCAAGCGGGAGACCCTACACCATTTCTGACAAATGGCAGTCCAATCTCTTCTTGAAAGTCTCAAGTGATAGTGCTCCCATAACTTCCGAGGGCAAGCTGTTCCATTGGTTGACTGTTCTCACTGTCAGAAAGTTTCTCCTTATTTCCAAGTTGAATCTCTCCTTGTTCAGTTTCCATCCATTATTCCTTGTCTGGCCTACAGGCGCTTTAGAAAATAGCTTGACCCCTTCCTCCTCCCTGTGGCAGCCCCTCAAATATTGGAAGACCACTATCATGTCTCCCCTGGTCCTTCTCTTTACTAGACTAGCCAAGCCCAGTTCCTGCAACCAAGCCAAGCCCAGTTCCTGCATGTAGGATTAGAACTAACCTGACCAACCGCCACATTCATTTTCCAATATTTTTGCAGTAAATGAAAGCAAACCCCACTCCCTTCCAGCACTGATGATGTTACCTAGTTGGGTAAAGAAATGTCTGCAAGAAAACAAACAGGGTCAGAAAGCACCAAGGATTCCTCCTCCTCCTCCTCCTCCTCTCCACAAACCCTTCTAGCATTGATAATGTTACCTAGTTGGCTCATGAAACATTTCCAAGAAAACAACCAATCTCAGAGAGCACCAAGGACCCCACAATTCTCCTCCTCCCTCTCTCCTTCCACTCCACAAACCCCACTCCCTTCTAACACTGATGAGGTTACCTAGTTGGCTCATGAAACATTTTCAAGAAAACATCCAAGCTCAGAGAACACCAAGGACACCATAGTCCTCCTCCTCCTCCCTTATCCTCTTGCTCCACCCCCTCCTCCACTCCACGAACCCCACTCTCTTCTAGCACTGATGATGTTACCCAGTTGTGCTTTAAAATTGGGGAGGGTGGGCTGTTAGGAGTTCGCAAGGGTTCAGGAGAGCCCCTAGCTAAGATTCTGTACAGTTTGGAGAACCCCCGAATCCCAATCCTGCCTGGCCCTGCCCACCCTCCACTCCCAGGAGTCCCCACGTGGCCCATTTTGGATGCAGGTAAGTGTAGGGTACATATGAAGGCTCGGGGAGGGCAAAAAGCGGACCTCCCAGAAGTTTGGAAATGGGCCCGTTTCCAGCTTCCAGACAGCCTCCGGAACCTGGGGAGCCATTTTTTGCCCTCCTGGACGCTTGAGAAAAACCTCCGGATCATGGGGAGAGCAAAAACGCCCCCCACCCCTTCACCCTGGTGCAGGAGGCTGACTAGGCCACACCCACCCAGCAACCAGAAAGAGAACCGGTTGCTAAAAAATTTTGAAGCCCACCCCTGATTAAAATGTCTTCAGGAAAACAAGTTCAGAGAGACCCCAAGGACTGCACAGTTCAGCCCTGAGCTATAAATAGCCTCTTCCATCCATTTTTGCAGTAAGTTCCAGACCAAAGTTTCAGTTCCCATTTTTTATTTTTTATTTTTTATTTGAGACAAAGAGGAATCCGGGAATATGAAGAGAGGGCGGCCCATCGTTCTAAGGAAGTAAAGTCGCCAAATTCTGGAGAGATTGAGTCTCAACGGAGGAAGAGGAAGAAAGAAACCAGCAGTCCCCCCAACATGGTGTAGCTGATCTCTAGCCAGGAGGCCCCATCGTGGTTGCAGAGGTCAGTGTGGCAACAGATGATCAGGCGCGTGGAACCGATTGCATCTATCTCGGAGAGGTTGCAGGCCAGAGAACAAGACCGAGTGACGGTGGATTCGCCCACAAAAGGGTAGACTGCCAAACAACCAGAAAAAAAAAATAATTCAGATAATTTATGGCACACAGAGACTCATGTATCATGCTAGAATTGACCCCGTGTCTTCCAAGCTGTCCTAATACACAAGAAGAGCATGCCACTCCTCAGCTCAGCAATAGAATACCTTGAAATTTTGGATCTGGACAACTTAGAACTATGCCGCCGACGGTCTGACCTAAGCTTAGTACACAAAATTGTCCGCTTCCATGTCCTACCTGTTAACGACTACTTTGGCTTCAACCACAAGAACACGTGGCTATACAATAGATACAAACTGAAACCGCTCCAAACTTGATTGCAGAAAATACGACTTCAGCAAAGGAATGATCAATGCCTGGAACTCACTCCCTGACTCTGTTGTTTCATCCTCAAACCCCCCCAAAACTTTAACCTTAAATTGTCTACTGTGGACCTCACTCCATTCCTAGGAGGTCTGTAAGGGGGGGTGCATAACCACACCAGCTTGCCTACCATCCCTGTCCTACTGTTCCCATTTATTTGTACACATTTATTATGCGTATACTTATACCATTTATACTTATGTGTTTATATGTTAGGTTCATACTTATGCTTGTTTTCTCATACATGCTTGACAAACATAATAAATAAATAAATGAATGAATAAATGAATGAATGAATGAATAAATAAGTGAATAGATAGATAGATAGATAGATAGATAGATAGATAGATAGATAGATAGATAGATAGATA